TATGTAGGCAAATGAGGAAGACGGCATATTGAGGTTTTAACACCTGGATTCATGGGTACCTTGGATGAAAAAATCGAAGGCCCATTCCATCATGTGCAGTTCATGCCATTCGTACTAATTTCCCAGACCCAGAAAATTCATATGTCGGATTCATTAGACTCCAAGATTTTAATGCCAACGATATGGCTGATGACTTTTGAAAAAAAAATTTAAACAATGTTTGTATTGTTACAATTCATCCTGAATTTATATTTAAAATAGTTTATTATAAAGTTTTCTTCTTTTCAACCATGTATTGTGAGTTTTTTTTTTTTGTGAGGTCTATGTAGGCTCCCACAACATCGTGGGATTCTCCATAAATGCACCCAATTCACTGCAGCCATTACTGGTAACGGCTGTTAGGAATGACTATTGGACTGACCCTTGAGTGTAAGAAAGTCAGGTGTTGGAGAAATACAGAGAGAAATGTCAAAATGAGTATTTCATAAAGATTCGATCTTGATGAAATACAAATTTTTCAGGTGTTGTTGACAGTGACTGTTTAGTTGTCAATTTCAATGATGGCATTTACAGAATGCAATGGTTTCTCTTTATAAACTGATACATTTTGAATGAGGCTCACTATTAACACAATTGTGAAATTATTGCATTCTGTAAACTTTGCTGTTAAATTTTACCTTGTGATTTTGTTTCACATGTAAATATTTGTTTGAAAAAAAAATTAAAGAAATATATATGCAAACACCAAATTAATACAGGAAACATGTATTAAATTTCTAAATTAAAACTTTATTAATAGCATAAAATGTAATCTTTATATATTTCCTATATAATACAACTTGAACTAAGAGTTTTAATTTAAAAATCAATTTTAATGTTTATTTAACTTTTTTAAATTAATTAAAACTGTTAAATATTTAAAAGTGTTATAAGTTTAATTTAAATAGTTTTTAGATGTAATTATTTTAATGTTATCAATTAACAATAAATATATTATAACTAGAATATTACAATTGTAATCTATAATATTGTTATAAAATTTTATTTTTAAATTTACATATTTTGTTCTCAATTATACAATTATATTTTTCAGAATTAACCTAAACCTAGAAGATAAAGTTACTTTTTAATTATTTATATAATATATAATTGTTTTAATGTGATTTATTTAATTATTTATTAATCTAGAATATACTTTTCATTAATACAATTACTTTTTAATGAATTAATTATAGACATTTTTAGGCAACCTTGTAGTCAAAGCTTCATTAAGCTAGTGTTTTAGTAACTACAGAATACTTCTTAAATTTAGTTAATAATATTCTAAGACTATAATTAAATATTTTATTATTATTTTAATCTAATTGTTGTTATTTTAAAATATGATGTATGCTAACAAAAAGATCGAGCTTAGTGTTTACAATGTGTCATCAAACATATATGCAGAATTGTTTTTAATAAGTCCTCAGAGTGCTACTTTTATCTTTGTGTTGATTTAACTTTTAACTGTAAACTTTAACTTGAAAAATAATTAGAAAAGAAATTGGAAGCAAGGGGTTAACCCTTTAGAAACTACCACAGTAGTAAAAACAAGAAGAGGGAGACAAGGAGTGTCCCTAAATTAAAATATAGCTTTTGATAGTATAGTTAAAAATAGTATATGCTATAAATTGAGAAAGAAAATAGAACAAGGTATATTATTAACAATGACCCCTAAGGGTTAAAATCCTATAGGGAAAGAACAACTCACGCTAGATATGCCTATATAATCAAAAAGAAGTCCTGTTCAGAAGTGTTCAGGATCCTTCTCCTAATACTATGCAAAAACCAACGGTTTTTACAATGAAATAAAATATACAGGGTGAGTTGTGTCCCAAAGATACAAAATAACTGTATATGACAATAATTAGGTCACAAAGAGTTATATAGAGGTAGCACAGGAATGCTTGTATCGAGAATAAATGTAACAAAAAGGTTGCCAAAAAAAAAAAACACAAAAAGGGATAAACCCTTAGTTACATTTAACAGTGTATAGTATTCACTGTTCCTGTGCATCCAAACAAACTCAAAAAAAATAAAAAATAAAAAATAAATGTATGTAAATAGTGCTAACTGAAAGTCTATATCTAGCACTATTATATGTTTGTAAATGGTAGAAACATATAATAGTGCTAGATATAGACTTTCAGTTAGCACTATTTACATACATTTATTTTTGAGTTTGTTTGGATGCACAGGAACAGTATACTATACACTGTTAAATGTAACTAAGGGTTTATCCCTTTTTGGTTTTTTTTGGCAACCTTTTTGTTACATTTATTCTCGATACAGGCATTCCTGTGCTACCTCTATATAACTCTTTGTGACCTAATTATTGTCATATACAGTTATTTTGTAAACTTTAACTTGAACGGATAAAAATGACAGATATAAAACTGAAAACTCAAATTTTTAAAAGAATAACTGTCAATGCCTTAGAAAATTTTTCAAAGACCACTGACATTGGCGAAATTTGTACAATGGCCTAGGATAGCCAAGTACGGGCAAACTTACCAGAACCTCTCCATCGTTGTCTTGTTATCATTGTCTCCATCGATGTTCTTTCAATCTTTCAATCTTTCACAAATAATCATTTATCTTTTTTATTTCTTTTTGGAGAAGGGGAGGACAGTTCCATTTTAAAGGGACACTATATTCACAAGAACAACTATAGCATAATGTAGTTGTTCTGGTGAATAGTCAGTTCCTGCATGAGGTGCTCTGCATTGAGGCGCTGAACTTTCCCCATTGAGATGCATTGATTAAATGCATCTCTTTGAGGAGAAGCCGATTGTTGGAGCAGAGTTAGGTTCCGGCTCCTTGGTTGACATCAACAGAAATTACGATCTCACCCAATCCAGCGCTTTCCTACGGGAAACCATTGTGATGATGTAAGTCAAGGAGGTGGAATGTAGGCAGAGACCGCACAAGCGGACATGTGTGGCTATGGAAATAAGGTGAGTTTTTATAATATTGAAGTGTGCTGTGGGGGGCTAAATAGTGTTTGCACCATTCTAAAGTCAAGAACACTTTTCTGTTTTTGACCTTATTATGTTTCTTTAAACTGGCACTGTTATGCCGAACATACCATTTTCCAATTAATTTATCTTCTCCTCCTCTCTCAGAATCATTTATCCTTTTCTTTATTCCTGATATATTTTTTTAACACCAATGACAAAGTAATGACTACTACATTTTTTTCCCCCAAGGTATGACTTTCTATGGCTAAAGGAGGAGCTTAAGTATGCTCCATTTCCTGTGTAAAGTAGGAGAGTGAGTATTGTGCCAAAACTTTATTTGACACAAGAATTGGAGCGGACTTAGTCTTCTCCTTTGATCAAAGAAAGTCAAGCATAGGAAAAATACATAAGACAAAGTAGTTCCTTCTTTGTTTTATGTGGTCAAGAAAATAATTAAAAATAAAAGAATAAATGGTTCTGAGAAAGGAAGAGAAAATGAAACAGGAGACAGGTACGTTCGGCATGACAGTGCCGCTTTAATTACTTGAAATGGCTCACATGCTCTTCTACTGCCTTTTTTTTATCAGGCTTTGGAATTTTAGCAATGTTTTTGGGTACTGTTGTGGATTTTGAATTCCAATCCACATGCACACTCTCACTGCAAATTTTTAATACACTCATAAGAATTTGTTCTATATGAGTCATTGTCATTGGCTCGTACATAGTACGAACAACCCATCTTTTTCTGGAACGTGGGAATTCCAATCTATTCTGCAAAGTTCCAACAGGATCAGTGCCTTTGAACGAAACTTTGACAATTGCTTGCTCACGATTAACGTTACTGTTGTGAGCAAGAATGGCCAAAATTGTTCTAGCCTCCATGGAATCCAGTCCAAAATGAATCCTTTTGGGCCTGTATTTCAAAACAAGGCTATGGAACATCTCCAGACATCCTGTGTGACAGAAGTGGACTAAGTGGTCAAAATTCTTCACAAGCTGACCATCATTAATAAATTTAACTAGGTTTTCATATGCTTGTGACTTTGGTTTCAATCATAAACCTTTGTCAATCACTTCTTGTGATAGTGGTTCGTGCGAACAAGCGTGGTACTTCTCTGCAACTTCCCATTCGTGAAAATTGGAAATGTGACGAGAGTGAATTCCAATGCTCTTTTAATTGCACTATGTCCCCTTCACATGTCTTAATGCACCACCAAAAGTGGTTTATAATTTGCCTGATCCAAAAAGAAATGTCATAATAATTCTTTTTCTAAGAAATTGACACGAGCTTCTTTGTGAGATTTTTAGCATAGTGCCATACATCAAATTGATGTGTAATGCCCCTATACTTTTCTCTCATCAATTTACGGATGCCAACATGACGATCAGTAGCGATCATTTGGACATCAAGGTTTTCAGATCTCAGTCTATAAACAAGTCTGAAAACCTAGGTTTTCCATAGCAATGGATGACGTTGTCTGAGACACCTGTGTAAGTTTGAAGTCAATAATTTTTTTACTAAAGACATCCATGAAAGTGTAAATGCAATATTTAGCACTAAATCCTGGACTGTCACATTGACCATCTCCACTCAAGCAGAATGGAAGTTCATTCCACAGGGGTCTACAAATGTCTTTCTCCAATTACCAATGATGTGACAAAGCAGGAAAAAGGTATTTACGTTGGTAACGGTAATACCCACTTTCCAAAATATGTTGTAATCCATAAATGTTTAACATTTCATGGATTTTTTTTTAAATTACAGCCACTGAAGAGAATTGATGCTGCCATTAATATATTGCCAGCACCAATTTGACTAATGAGTGGCTGACTGTGCCACAACAGAAATTTGTGTCCAGATTTACAAGTTGCATAGATTTTTAATAGTGAACCCTCTGTACGCTTTCTAAGAGAAACAATCTTAGATGTACAGTGCAAGTTTTTCTGGCATGGGATTTTGTAGCATAACAAATCTAGACAAGATTCAAATACTACACATTTTCAGTTATTTACACACTGAAATTTAATATTTGATTCCTCAGTGTTCAAATCTAAATCAGTGGATGTGTCCATAGTGCAAAAACTATCCATGACATAGTGTGGATCACGCTTTTGCTCTTTGGAGACATTCAAAGTGCTCTCTAAGTCTGACTTCTCAATTGCAGCACTACTGTCAATATCTGTAGATACATTGTGTAGTTCCGCAATATCTTGGTTAAAAAAATCCAAAAGATCCATTGGATCTTCATTTGATTCCTCTGTAATGGTTCCGAATTCCATTTCTTTATCTTTAATTTTAATAGGGGTAGAAGTTATTATCTTAGATGGACTGAACACTTCAGTCTCTAAGATACTAGGCATGTCTTTACAATATAAATGCTCCATTTTTATACATTTTAAACTTGGATCCTCATGGTTAGTGGATTTGGCAAATTCAATTACCTCTTCCACTGGTATACAGTCGGTCTGAATTGATTTCCCTTGTACAATTTAAATCTTCAGTTTAAGTTGAAGCATCGCACATAATCTTGGCAAGCTCCAAATGAGTTACAGAGGTACAGGCCAATGATGTGTCTACATCCATTGCTTTGGTTTTTTTATGCCTATGGAATACCTCTTCAGCTATGCAAGGAAGACCTGCTTCAAAATTGAATTTTGAAGGCAGTGCATCCGGTTTTAAAAAATGCTTTGATCCCCTCAACTCAAAGGAACTGTCCTCAAAATGTCTGGAGCAGATCCGGTACATAGTGTGATATATTGGGTCAGTTATAATATCTAAAATTTGTTCAATATTAACAAAATTTTGACGAGTCTGCTCCAGCCATTTTCTGGCTAAAAATCTTTTACTGGGAAAGACATGAAGAGTTATTACTTCATGCCCAGTTCTCCCGGGTCTGCTCCTGCACCCGGTGACAACGCAGTTAGGCATATTTACCAGAAAATGAAAAAGTAAATTTAAATATATTGGACGCTAAGAAATAAAAAATCAAACGACGATTCGCACATAAAAATCCTGAAATATACAAAATAATAATTCAAAATTTACCTACTATTACAAAGCACTCTTTGCTATTTGATATATAATTATTGTATTTAAATGTAGTGTCTAATTGCAATGTCTTCATTTAAATTTCTGACGTCAAAGCAACCTCAGTTGAAGTAAAAATAAGCACAGAAAGGAGTCCATACTTTTTATGCACTTTTTTTGGCTATAAAATGTGCATACAATTATATATGCAATGATTGACTGTCCGCATTTTAATTATTAAAGATCACATGTATGAAAAATAATCAAACTGGAGCATGTCGATTTTGAGATATATACATAAATGTATTGATCTCCATATCATGCTGGTGCTATACCGCTGCTGGTGCTTGAATACATACTGCATATTTCATGTATTTAAACTTTGTTAATCTATGGACTATTTTAAGCTATATTATGTTTAGGTTCACATGATAATATATGTTGCACTGCATATAGACGGGTAGTTCATCTTTATTGTCCGATTCACAGTGTGTTATAGATGTTGAGTAGTGGTGTTGTAGGAGTTGTTGTCATTCAATAGTGTTGTTGATCCTGCGCTATATTACATATATAATGTATAGAACCTATTAATGCATTGTGGTTCTTATACTCACAATACTTTGCATAATGGTGGTGAAGTCTTCTAGTTATTTCAGATGGCTTGTTGGTTATATGTCAAGAGGTATTATTAAATGTGTGAGTGTGTGTGTGTGTAAATATATATCCATAAAAAAGTGTGGTTTTACATGTGTTGATCACTATGGTTCATAGCTTCAATGCTCACTACATAATGCTCATTTTAGGTATTTACACCTTTGTATTGTACGTACGCAATATTGTATACTATATTATGTTGAAGTACACATTATAATGGATGTATATTTTCCTTATTATGATGTATTGCAGTAATTATCGCTTGGTAATACCTCTTGGTGTCACAGTATGTTGTAGATGGTGGCATCGTACAAGTTTACTTCTGGTAATATGCGAGTTGATCTTGCAGCAAATTACATATATTATGTATATAAACTATTAATACACTGTAATTCTTATTTCAAAAAGGTTTACAAAAGTTTTGGATGAGTATTTTGGGATTTGTCATTCGATTGTTGTTTATTGAATCCACGCCACGTATTGGTTCAGTTTCACTGGTTCAGGGTGATTGCTTTTAAGGTTACAGGTGGGATCTGGTAGTATTTGAATCTGATGTATTTAATGTTCTATGTATTCAGTAACAGCAAACTCATACAGCTACTATTTTCAACTAAAAACACACACTTTGATATACCACGTGCAGCAAACACAAACAGATACCACGTGCAGCAAACACAAACAGATAACACGTGCAGCAAACACTTTCAGCTATAACATTCAAACACTTTGATATACCACGTGCAGCAAACTAATTACTGATAAATATAATTATTTATAAAGGGTGGCTAGCTAAGTGTAGTGTGAGTGGAATTGGGGGGGGGCAGGTTTACTAAATAGCTAACTGAAAATAGAAATTAAATAGGGAAAATATTGAAAATAATTATTAATCAAGGGAGGCTGGCTAAGTGTAGTGTGAGTGGAATTGGGAGGGGGCAGGTCCACTAAATAGCTAACTGAAAATAGAAATTAAATAGGGAAAATATTGAAAATAATTATTAATCATGGGAGGCTGGCTAAGTGTAGTGTGAGTGGAATTGGGGGGGATGGCAGGTCCACTAAATAGCTAACTGAAAATAGAAATTAAATAGGGAAAATATTAAAAATAATTATTAATCAAGGAAGGCTGGCTAAGTGTAGTGTGAGTAGAATTGGGGGGGGAGGGCAGGTCCACTAAATAGAAAGGAAATAGTGAAAATAAGGGAAAAACATTTAAAATTAATAAAAATAAAAACATATAAGAAAATAATACCTCCTAATATAGCTGCAGGTCATAGACGGATAGCTGGCTATCTGGAGAGGGAGCAGAAGGTAAAATGGAAGCAGGATATAGAAATCTTTATTAAAAATAGAAAATTAATAAATTTTAACAAATGGTGATGTTCAGCACAGGTCAGAGTGCTGAACATCACCATATATGGTCATGGGGCCATCAAAGAAAACAACCATCTGTTCGCGCGGAGGCTGGAGGAAGGTCAGGAGGAGGACACCATAGCGTCGAGGGGCATGCGCGGGAATTTACAGCGCGGGTGAGTATGGGAAGATGAAGGAGCCACGGTCACGTGATATACGGCGAGAGGAAGATAGCGACCTACTGGAAATAGATCCGGATCCCCAGCAAACCTTCCAAAAAAGGTCAGTAAAGGGATTTAGAACTATTTAAATGGGAATAAAGGGGTTTTTATTTTAAAAAAAAGAGGATGTGGCCATGACAGTGCCGCTTTAAATGATAGATATTGGAACTCTTTTACACCGCTAGGCACAAACTAAGATGGTGACCGAAGCCCACAGACCTCAATTCCACTTGGCTCACCAAAGCCGAATGTTCCATCCTTGCAGCCATCGACCCTGGCAATACTCAATTCTTCTATGGAGCACTTGGAGGGTATACCGAAATTACTGTATTACTACAGATACTGCAGTATGCGGTAATCAAAGCAGATGTTCAAGTTGTTACAAAGCGAGTAAAGCATCCGAGGAGGATGCACGTACTTCTATAGTACCACACTACCACAAACTTCCGGAGTAGTACCATAGTATTATGAAACTCCATAGTACCACGAACCTCCATAGTAGCTTATCTCTTGTGCAAGATGCAATCCGACAGGTCCAATCTACCCACCAGGTACTCACCATACAGATCTTCACGGTGGAAGACTGCAACAGGTAAAAACATATCAAACATGTCATTATCCATTGCTCTTCTTCCCAGGATAAAGGCCATATCATGGCAGCACTATAGGGGAAGATGGCACTCTTTTTTGAAGTATTGCATCCTATATTTAACCAAACTACAATGACACAGGTCCCTCGATGTTGTAACATGTCAGCTGAGCCTATCCAGAGTGGACTATAGATGAGGGGACTGCTGGATGCCTGATGGGGACCCAAAATGGGTCACCATTTGACTTCCAGTCAACCCTCTTCCCATACTTGACATCCTAACAACCTTGTCCCTTTTGTGCGAAGAGGAGGAGTAGAAGTTCAGCAGGGCACTACAATCATTAAATGCATGTTTTGCATTATCTTGTGTTTATAATGTTTACTATTCAAAAAATGAGGCACTTTGAATCTTTATCAAATGATTGTGATAACGTATGTTACTTGTATTACTCTGCCTGTATTGCATATCATCCTGCCTCAATAAAAATGTATTGACAAAAACAAAATCCTGGAAAGTGTCAGTTCATGTTTAACTCGCCTCCCTTCTCTGTATATTTAATATCAAGTCCATTGTATAAGCAACAAGTTTGTGGAGCTGTTTGTACAATATAGCTTATATCTGTAATAGTTTCATTGGGTCTGTTTCATAAAGCAAAGAGCCACTAGGAACGTGTTGGACAGAACATGACATATTGACCTTATGCTATGTACACTATCTGCAAGGTATCACATTATAACTTGATGCCAATAAGGCAAACCATAGTGAGCAAAATAATGCCAGGTAGGTACATATTCTAGTGGTGCCCCCACCACTGCTTCTATTCATAGGGACAGTTGCCATTCAAGTTCCTCACTGCAAACATGGATGACACTGTATCGAGCAGACATGTTAACTTAAATTCCTTTCATTATTTGCAATGTAGGGGCATATTTCCTAGATATTTGGCTCCTTGGTTCATGACACTATTTACCAAGTTGATGCACTGTGCTAAGTGCAGGGGGTGCTTTAGCAGTGCTGTAAGATGGGATATGAGGTTCTAATCTATTTTAACTTGGACCTAATGTTGAGTCATGGAAATGCTGTGTGTTCAGTGAGCACATCACAGTTCTTTAACCTTGCCTGAACTGGCAACAAAGTTTCCCACGGTAAGAAACTCCGAGAAGTTCACAGTGCTAGTGGAATCTTCCCTTTTATTTTTCATCTTTTAGAGAAGGGACATATGTCTTCAACCCTTCCCAGAACCCATTGAAATACAATTCTCAAGATTATCTGCATGAAAACATAGACAGAGCTTTGATTGGGAATCAGTTCTGCAACCAGGCATTATTGTAAAGGCAAATTAATCTGAGCAGTAATGTTTACCAGAGTAATTTTTTTATACATTACCCAAAAGTCCTTGACAGGAACACATGAATATTTGGACCATTAAATTAGTAGTATCTAAAAAAAAGTTTTTGGGAACAGCATCCGATACCTTCCAAACAAAATGCGTGATGAAACAAAGTAGCCTAATGTAAAAAATATGATTTGTCATTATTATTAAAGATGTGTCCTTTTCAATACATTCTTCCTAGATATGCCAGGAATCTCTTAATATAAAAATTCACAGTCTGAGCCTTTCACCCCATTAATATATTTTATAATAGTGCTTAAAAAGTAATTCTCTTGTGTTACTTTTCATTAAAATATTGAAAATTCAGTTCAGTTCTGAATGTCAGTCTCCTGTGACAGTGAGATCGAAGCTTTGGCAAAAAAAAAAAAAGGTTTAGAATCACAGTCTTTGGTGGTTTGGATCTTTTCAGTCTTAAACCACTGAAATGATTTGCAGCCAACTTTTTCTAAGCGTGATTGTCCCTCTCTGTGGATATATGAATAAAACAAAATAGAGAACAGAATGTAATTCTCTATAGTTTACTGAACCAAAATTATTTTTCATTTTACATAATGGAAGTGTTAATGATGTTGGGTAATCGGAATTTTGCTTTATTGCTTGACATGCATCCGTATAAACTGTCTCTATGCCTATCTAATCATATCAATGTATACTTGGTATGTATTACCTGCGGATACGGGGTCTAACTGTACTATGTGTTGGATATTTACTTCCTGTTATAAATTCTAATCTCTACCAGAATCTTGTCATTGGTAGTTTCTATATGCTTCAAATATTCATATATACTTTTTTTATGATTCTCAGATTAAAAGGTCATTTAAGAGTCCTTGTGCCGGCTTTCCTGGCCACCGTGTCCTCTTTAACTTCAATAGATGGTAAGAAAAGGAACACTATCAAAATAGGATTACTCTCAAAACGCATTTGTGAAATTCCCAGCAAAAAGCTATTGGTGGCAACCAACCGCACCTCTTACTTGTGATTTTTTTATTACCTACTAAAATGGAAGTCATCACTTTCCAGGATTTTTAACAATATCTGCACTTATTCCATATATTTAGCAAATATATGTTTAGGATGTGTGAAGAATAAAATGAATTGTAGAATTCACACCTCTTTATGTTGCACCTGAGCACCTCTATCTTTGCTTAATTTCAACCATTGTTACAATCTCCATCCTTTGCACTTCACAATCAGCCTGGAGAGAACACATATTAGACATGACACAAACCAATGGTGGAGATTCATCTTAATCTTTGGTTCTAAAAGGTGGTGCAAAAATGGAATGGAATGTGCTGGCTGGTTGCACTGGTTTCTATGGTGATTGTCCTACTTTTAGAACAGCACACTTTGGTAAATCTTTGCCGTTGTCTCTGTTTCTTCTCTTCATTTGCCATGTGTGCCCTTGCTGTGTCTGGACTGAACTGAATTGTGATATGCTTTGCTGAATATTTAGTATACGTTTAGAAGATATCTGAGCATTATAAGAAAAAATAATTAGTGCATGTTAGAGGATTTTCAATGTTTTTTTTTTTCAATGGTGTAATTTGCAGTAGGGACAGTTCCTTTTTAATATCGGCCTACATTGCCCGAGAGTAATAAGCTGAAGCTCTCAGCCAATGAGATAGAATTGCATTGCTGGGAGAAGCCCAGAGAGGTAATGAAAACTCCCGGAGAGGTAGTAGGCTAGGTAAGGCACAGCACCTGGAAAATCCCAGTCAAAAAGTTACATCATTCTAAAATGTTTTGAGTACTTACACTGGGTGGCACAAGGGCACTCATACAACCATAAGCACCATGGCACACTGTAGTGGTTATGGTGCCATGAGGTTTATGGTTTCAATGGGGTTTTAGGAAAACCTTATGCCAAACCATCTATATAAATAGAGTACACAGCCTGCTTTATAATGATTATTGCCATATGTTCCACAGCTATGTATATAGAAACATAGAAACATAGAATGTGACGGCAGATAAGAACCATTCGGCCCATCTAGTCTGCCCAATTTTCTAAATACTTTCATTAGTCCCTAGTCTTATCTTATAGTTAGGATTGCCTTATGCCTATCCCACGCATGCTTAAACTCCTTTACTGTGTTAACCTCTACCACTTCAGCTGGAAGGCTATTCCATGCATCCACTACCCTCTCAGTAAAGTAATACTTCCTGATATTATTTTAAACCTTTGTCCCTCTAATTTAAGACTATGTCCTCTTGTTGTGGTAGTTTTTCTTCTTTTAAATATAGTCTCCTCCTTTACTGTGTTGATTCCCTTTATATATTTAAATGTTTCTATCATATCCCCCCTGTCTCGTCTTTCCTCCAAGCTATACATGTTAAGATCCTTTAACCTTTCCTGGTAAGTTTTATCCCGCAATCCATGAACCAGTTTAGTAGCCCTTCTCTGAACCCTCTCTAAGGTATCAATATCCTTCTGAAGATACGGTCTCCAGTACTGTGTACAATACTCCAAGTGAGGTCTCACCAGTGTTCTGTATAATGGCATGAGCACTTCCCTCTTTCTACTGCTAATACCTCTCCCTATACAACCAAGCATTCTGCTAGCATTTCCTGCTGCTCTATTACATTGTCTGCCTACCTTTAAGTCATCAGAAATAATCACCCCTAAATCCCTTTCCTCATATGTTGAGGTTAGGACTCTATCAAATATTCTGTACTCTGCCCTTGGGTTTTTACGTCCAAGATGCATTATCTTGCACTTATCCACATTAAATGTCAGTTGCCACAATTCTGACCATTTTTCTAGTTTACCTAAATCATTTGTCATTTGGCTTATCCCTCCTGGAACATCAACCCTGTTACATATCTTAGTATCATCAGCAAAAAGACATACCTTACCATCAAGACCTTCTGCAATATCACTAATAAAAATATTAAAGAGAATGGGTCCAAGTACAGATCCCTGAGGTACCCCACTGGTGACAAGTCCAAGCTTTGAATATATTCCATTGACTACAACCCTCTGTTGCCTGTCACTCAGCCACTGCCTTACCCATTCAACAATATTGGAATCCAAACTTAAAGATTGCAGTTTATTGATAAGCCTTCTATGTGCAACAGTGTCAAAAGCCTTACTGAAATCTAGGTAAGCAATGTCTACTGCACCACCCTGATCTATAATTTTAGTTACCCAATCAAAAAAATCAATAAGATTAGTTTGGCATGATCTCCCTGAAGTAAACCCATGTTGTCTCTGATCTTGAAATCCATGTGTTTTTAGATGTTCATCAATCCTATCCTTTAACATGGTTTCCATCACTTTCCCCACTACTGAAGTAAGGCTTACTGGCCTATAGTTGCCCGACTCCTCCCTATTACCTTTCTTGTAAATGGGCACAACATTCGCTAACTTCCAATCTTCTGGGACTACTCCTGTTAACAATGATTGGTTAAATAAATCTGTTAATGGTTTTGTTAGTACACCACTAAGCTCTTTTAATAGCTTTGGGTGTATTCCATCAGGTCCCATTGACTTATTTGTCTTTACTTTTGACAGTTGAAATAGAACTTCTTCCTCTGTAAACTCACGTGTAATAAATGACTCATTTATCCTTTTTCTCAACTGAGGTCCCTTTCCTTCATTTTCATCTGTAAATACAGAACAAAAATATTCATTGAGGCAGTCAGCTAGACCTTTAACCTCTTCTACATACCTTCCTTCTTTTGTTTTTAATCTAACTAATCCTTGTTTTACTTTTCTTTTCTCATTTATGTATCTAAAAAATGTTTTATCCCCCTTTTTTACTGACTGTGCTATTTTCTCTTCTGTGTGTGATTTGGAAGCTCTTATAACTTGCTTAAACCTGACAGACATATTGTATAGAACATGACTCTGTTGCCATGAAATGACAGAGAACGTATCATCCACTTGGCATTTTAACATCTAAACTTGACAGACACATTTATATTGGAACAGAAGACTAGAGGAAAAACTGTTACTGATAAAGTCTACATTTGATGTGCATGGTAATTGCAAATTCCAAGTGTTTGATTATGAAATCAGATGTTCATGCTTTATATTTTGCAAAGGTAAGACCACATGCCAGTTGCAATTTTTAACAAATGCCAGTAAATTGTTAGGTTTTGTTAAGAGAAAGTAGTGACAAATCTTTTTTTAGTGATATAAATGTCACAATCACAATAACATATTCAATCTTGATAAACCTTATGAAAAATGTGTGATGGCATTAAAAAAAACACAACACAAAATTAGTAAAAACTATTTTTAAAAAAAATACCAGGGAAGAGCAGCCAATTATTTCTGTTAATTTGTCACTTGTGCTACTAGGTGCCTGAAGGTAGATTGCACTGGTGGGAGCACAGGCGAGGAGGGGATGGGAGTTGATCCCTAGCCAACTTGCATGGTATTAGAATAGTAGGATGTGCATTGGGAGGTCTGTTGGCAGAGTGCTGGTGGAGTAAGACAACGGGAGAGAATTATGCAGGGTCTTTGCTAGCCCAGCGCTATATAGCTTTGTGCATTGGCTAGTGACTTGCAATCATAATGTTCTCTAGGCCTGAGCTGGTCAACTTGGATATTTCCCCTAGACTGCACTATCTGGGGCTGAGCAGGCTGCCAGATTATGAGATGTTTACAAATGACTGCAGTCTTAAATGAGACAGTGCTTGTGACATTTATAAGACTCCAACTGTCATTGGTGACTCTGAATGCTCACTCATATTGCGCAGGTCATAATTATGGAAATTGTAGGAATATGATGTCACGCCTAACGACTCCAGCAGCCTCCATCTGTCAAATTCATGTATTGCATGCTCCAGATAATGTTGACCATCCACACTGAGATCTGAGTGTTTTGAACCCCAAAAATGCCCTTTCTTTGTACTTGATCAAAAGTTGTCAGCCCTCTAAGGTTTGTCCTATTCAACTAGTGTAAAAAAAGAAACAAACAAGAACGGTACAAAGTATTTAGAGATAATACAAATATCTCATGATATTTATTGACATATTAAAAAAACAATGACCAAAATATATCTAAATGTAAGCAATGCAAATAATGAACACCTTGGTGGCAAATGCAAGCAATGTTAACTGATTCCACATTAACCAATTACATCATTTAAAAGACAAACAAGCACTATAGCTGTAATGTAAAAATGAAACAAGTAGAACATAATACATACTTGTGTACATTACCTGAAATGTTCATTTAGCATTATCTACATAGAACATAATAGGTGAATTACTCATCTCTCTCATTAATGCACTTGGCTGTTTATTACCTTCAGCCGATAATGTTGCTAAAAAGCCCATAAAAGTGATTTTTTTTGGTTCCTGTGTCTTAAGTTATCATTTTTGGCCCATTGAGCTTGCACATTGAGATCAATCATAAAATCATGGTTTTGCCCTGACAATACTATTTTCAGACTGTTTGATACTGGCAGGGAATTAAAAAGCAATATTGATCAATTATCTGTGCTGTATTGTATTTTAGGCCATAATCTAATCAATACAAGTGTTTGAGCACTCAGTTCAAATAATGATTCTACAGGTGCATATTGCAGCTTTAAACTTAACCCTTTCATTATAGGATTCGTTTGTGTATGATTCCCAGGCTATGTTCACATACACTGGAATTGTGTATACACAGTTTTAAAAACTGCTAATTAAATTAATTTATTGCAAAAAAAATTCATTAACAATTGCTGCCCAGACTGCAGGGCCAGTGTTAGCATTAAAGTCTTGGCTCTGATGAAGATCTTCCTCTCAGCTTTGAGTGCAGGTCTGAACCTCTGATTGTGTTTTCTCTTCCTGTTCTGGGTATTCATAAGGTTCAGACCTGCACGGACAGCCCATTGTGTCTACCAGGAATACAGAAAGACTTTCTCATCAAATATATACTACAGCTCAGAGAGAACTGGTTTTAATTCACAAGTTTGCTGCAGACAGTCAGAGAAACTACCAACAGGCAGTGATATGCTTACTATTTGTCCCTCTGGGGGTCCTCTCCTTCTAATGTAGGTTGTTTTGAAGGTCAGATCATTCAGTGCTGTTGAAGATGAAACTGTGTACGTACATTTGATAAGGAAGTCTTTTTCTGGAATGAGGGGGTGTGGCTACAAAGGCAGGCTTATGGTGCAACATTCTGCAAAACATGTATTTTTGAGTGCAAAAACTATGAATTTGAGTAAGACAAAAAATAATACATAATAATTAGGTCAAAACCTATCAAATGCATTGACATTGTATTGGTGCTCAAAGTGTCAGTTTAAGAGACGATCATCCCATCATATTTAAAATACATAGCTTCTTGAGCTGCAATTTTTAATCCTAGTGAATGCTTGTATGGTTCATCTGACACTCTGCAGAACCATTACAAATAATATTTTGTTAAATAACTGTTCAAACCCAACTATAACTATGGTTTTCTGATACATTATATATTTATCTCTAAAGGTTTTTATTTGGTAACGTTCTCCTTCCATGTCTTCTTCTTCCCCAAATATGCTATTATTGTGGAAATGATATTGCTTTATAACCAAGGTTACATCTGTATTTTAATGACAGCTATAGCCGCGTCAGAGGTAGACTTAAGTTAACACTGTACAAGGTTCTGCTGCAGCTGTGCTGAGCAGTTGGTAAATATCCAATTATTATTTTATGTAGTAATATAAAGACTTCAGAATGGTTTATGTCCAGGATCCATGTGATTAACAACATAAAATTATATATGCAATATAGGAATAGAATCTTAAAATGACAAATTGGAATTAGAAGTTAAACTGTCTGTATAATATTGGGAAAAGATTGAAAGAAACCCCCGCTATAATAAAGGCCAAGCCATACAATTTTATTAATGTACGTAAATGTTACAGGTCAAGTATGAATGCTTTAAGCAACAATTTAGAATGTCTAAAAATGGACTTCAAGATATAGTAAGATGTATTTTCCATGACGAAAAAAGTCTGCTTTGTACTGTGCCTTTATAACAGACAGCCTGACAGTTTTGGAGTTTAAACCCTTAACTAAAAATTGAAGAGAATAGACAAAAACTTAAAACCACCATGAGTAAGACAATTTTACTGACTGAACTATATTTATTTACTTATTTGTTTATTACTGGTATTTATAAAGCGCCAACAGATTATACAATTATTGTATTTTTTTTGAAAAACGGTCAACTACCATGAGGATGGTTGCATACCCATTGGAACTAGGCAGTTCAACAATGAAATCCATCGATAAAGGAGACCATGGGATACTGGGTATAGGAAGTGGCTGTAACAATCTACATTCAAGTCTCTGACTTGAAAGTCCATATGCAGATGAGAAACGAGTTTTCACCGTTATCACAGAATACTGAGGAAGCCGTGATAACGGTGAAACGCGCTATAACGGTGAAATGCTAAACCAGGAGACTGAGGAAGCCGTGATAACGGTGAAATGCTGAATCAGGAGACTGAGGAAGCCGTGATAACGGTGAAACGCGTTTCTCATCTGCATATGGACTTGCAAGTCAGAGACTGGTAGTTATATTTATTGCTTTTTATTTTTATATTGTATTAAATAAAAATATATATACTTCTACCTAACGGATTCCTGTGGTGCAAAGAAGGGAGTGTAGCCCTTAACTACACTAAGCTGTTTTACTGAGCCAGTTCACAGGCTCTACTCTTGTGAGTAGAACAGCTCTATTTACTTCTTGTTATATTTCCAAACGGAACTTCACTATATTCTGTGTATCCATTTTTCCTAGATACCAAGGGACCCTATATATCTATCCATTGGAAAAGGGGAGGGGTCGCCCTAAACAGACTCTCAAGTGCTTCATACCAGAGCTAGGTTTTCATAGCTCTGGAATCTGTGAGTGTTCCCTTATTGTTTAAATATCACATCCATAAGTGTTTAATAGTTTGCACTATGCACACTTTATTTTTTGTCTTAAAGGTACCACTACAACAGAATGCACATCTCTGTATATAAAAGTTAAGTGTTTATTCAAGTTTATCACCGGTATAGCATGGGGTGTATCACAATTATAAATAAGTGCTCCACTGTTCCATTATATATTGTACTTGATTGTGTAGCGTTTTGGAGATTTGCACGTTCGGTGTGGTAGCAGCTGCAATTGCTATATTATATTTATGAAAAATATTTTGTAGAAATATATTTTGAGTTATACGTTTCTTACACATCTATATCTATATATCGTTGAACAGAGAAACAAATAAACCTTTGGATGACTTTTAACCCATTGGGTAACGGCCAGTGTAGAACAGCCTCTAGTTTGCGAGGATCCATTTGGAAACCAGAGGCAGAAATATTATACCCCAAAAACTAAACCTCATGCTGATCAAATATGTATTTCCCAAGTTTACAATAAAGTCAATTATCAAGCAATGTTTGTAATACTTGTTTAACATGTTCATGATGAGTCTGGAGGTCTGGGGAATAAATAAGGATATCATCCAGGTAAACTAGAACAAATGAATAGATATAGTCCCTGAAAACATCGTTAATAAAATCCTGAAACACGGCTGGAGCATTGCATAATACAAAGGGCAAGACAAGGTATTCATAATGCCCACTCCTAGTGTTAAATGCCGTCTTCCATTCGTGATCCTCCCTAATCCTCACCAAATTGTATGCACTTCTAAGGTCAAGTTTGGTAAAGATCTTAGCACTGTGGAGTCTATCAAACAATTCGGATATAAGGGGAATGGGATAGGCATTCTTTATAGTAATCTTGTTTAATGCCCTGTAGTCAATGCAA